AGGGTAATTTGAAACTCGAGAGTGTAATTTTATAAAGTGAGTCAATGCATAGAAACCTAGCGTCCCATTGAAGTTTCCTCACTTCCAAAATATCAGGCTGCGTTCATGCCTTGCGAATGTGATTTGGGGGCTCTGCGATTCCGCAGAATCCGTGACAGAGGAAAGTATAGTTATCGATCGCAATCGCGCATTGTTTCAAATCACGAGTTCCTCGAAAACCACAATGAGCGTTGTTCTTCAACCAAAGCAAATCTTGGGTGAATTTCTGCAAGATACAACCTTCCTTGAACTTTCCTCTTCTGGTACACCCTCCCCTTCCCCATTCCCCATCGCTCCCTACCACCTTACAAGATTTTCACAGCTTGCTATGAGCCTTCCGAAGTTTTTTTTTTCAAAAGTTCCTGCTTTTTAATTGCCGGCAATTGAACAGCAGAGGAGGGGTGGCGCGATTGAAGTAGGAGAAGCCGAGAAAAGTGAACAACTGAAAACATTTTTGTCAAAACTAAGGACGACCCTCCCCACCCTCACTCCCTGTAGCGGCCAAATACGATCCCCTGGCTGGAGATGCCCTGCGTACGACATGTCCAGCTCTCAGTCGACTCGGCTCTAATTTTTTGATGCCGCTCTCCACTTATTTTTTTGAATCACGGCGTTCTACGCGTGTGGAGTCATGCGTTGTTCACATTCGCAAGGTGTGAACGCGTCCTTACGTTGGTGTAATTCGGTACCACCGAAGTACTGCTGTGAATTATTCAGGGTCGAAGGCGCGCTACTCCACTTACTTCCGGGACCGATATCCATCAACGAACCACTCACAGCACAAGTACTCAATAATATGCTCCGTGACCTGGAGATCAAGTATTATGGGGACGAAGAGAGGCATCCTTACTCTCAAGAGGTGCAGTTTGCAGATTCAGTTGTACATTTTATGGAGCGGATAATTTTGCCTGCTTTTTCGTTTTCTCTTGATCTCTGTGCGAATCTTTATTTTAGCAATTCAATGACGCCATTATGTCCGGTAATTTTATGCGTGTTCGAAAAGCTATGGTGAACAACGTGTTGACGGCGCCACGGTTGGCCATGTGGACGAATCCGTACGGTGCAAATCTATTGCATTTGGTAGAGTGGAAGCGTGAATTGAATAGGCTGAAATGTGTTTTGTCGGCTTTGTTCTTTTTCTTCTATCTTCTTTGTCCTGCCATCAGTTATGATCTTTTACCTCTAATTCTTCTCAACTCTGGCATCTATTGAGCGCTGGGACCACTAAGGCCGCGCTCAGTATGGTCGTCTGTAGTGCATAGTCTTGGGAGGAGGGGGGGGATGCTGTGTTGGTGGGAGGACGAAGATGAGCAGTTTAGTTGAGTCAGGCAGCGTTCAGACTTCGCGATGACGCGCGTCCACGCGCTACAATTGCAACATCACTCCAGTACTACAGATGCGGACACTGTTGCAGACGGCAGCCGATCTCCGGCCAGTTCTGTTTCGAGTGAGTATGGGAGAATAAGAGAGTACGCGTTGCTAATAACGCCATCTGCTATCGATCGGCACTTGGTCGCTAGTGCCTTGGAAGACTATAGAAGTACAGGAGAGTGTCAGATTGTGTGAAGGCAGTGCTTACCGGTTTGTCGACGCGCGCCATCGCGAAGTGTGAACGCTCATCCCACAGCTCTGTACATTTCGTTGTGAATACTATAGATTCGGCAATGGTTTTTTCTTTTCTCCCTTATTTTTGGTTGAATGACTGGAAATGTAGCGAAAAAGTCTCAGAAAATTACTATCAAAATTGCTACTGTGAGGAAAGTTCGCCGTTTAAAATTTCCATAAAAAACTAATGACATTTTTTTCAGCTGTGTCGGTCAACAAAATGTGACGGTCAGCATGCTGGTGATGATATAGCGACAGTACTCTGCAATATTGCACCATCTTTACTTAGCGGTCGTGACAACATGGGAAGGATTCCGCTGCATGACGCGGTTGACAGAGGACAGGTGGGGCCTTATATTGTGTATAGTGTTCCTCGTATAAAGTATGAAATAGTTTCAAATTCATGGTTGCGACTACTACTTGGTACTCGGGTCTAGAAACTAGGGCCGCTGTATACTGGGATAATTGGCAAAAAAAAAAGACAAATGAAGGGCGGCTTCGAAAACCTGCGCGTAAAATATCCTTTGCTCTTGTATGTACTCAAAGATCAGAATTTGGGACGACATCCCGTGACGGGTCTTAGCCAATAACCGCTACGGTGAGATGCGTGCGGCCACGTATTACTCATTATACCATGCAGTACCGCAGCGTCATTACATTCCCTTCGCTTCAATATTTTACTTATACAAAATAAGTAAAACAGCATACAGGTAAGGCGTCATTTGGGGCGGCGGGACGGTGACGCCTTCCCGTCGATCATGTAGCCTTTACAGGGTCTTATAAGGCAGTAACTTCCTTGAAACAGCAGCACAGCGACTTACTCGAGGCGTCCGGAATCCGTTCTGCCAGGCTGCACTTAATCTGCTCATCACAAGAATTATCGCGCTATCTGCCTTTAAGGGAAACTGGCACGATAAATTCCCAAGAAGTGTAGGATTAATACGCCAGCAAGACCGAAATCCCCGCCCCTACAGGCGCTACGTGGCGCAAGCTGCAACCAGAGTTGATGTGTCAGCCTTTTACAACAACATGCTGGGCAGATTTTGTAGACAACAAACTTATGTTATAAATAGCTAAATAGTTTAAGCCTATCTAGTTGTGTTGTGTTTTATTTGTTGATTGTGCTCTGTCGCGTCAACTGAATAAATGAAATGAATGAAACATACCGACCCGGACACCCTCCGCACCCGCCCGCCTACAAATGTCCGACCAATCACATCGACGCTGGTACTCTCTCTTATCGCTTCATTTATGGAGTACAATTGGTATGAAGCGTTGCTACATGGATGTATGAATTCATCCGTGCGCCCGTATTCATCAAAACAGTTGTTGGCAGGATGCAAACAAGAAACTCGTTCAAAAATGCTTGTCCAGTGATGCAAAACGAAGGCTCTTTCGCAGATTGGGCCGTTTAGTTTCGCTCTTTCGTCATTTCCCCACTAGATGGCGCCCCTGCTAGTGTTTTTGAGCAAGTACCGATTTATCGTGGCTTATGCCTTTTATCATGTTTGTAGATGTTTTGTGTCATACGTCATTTTCAGGTTTGCCGCGTTATTCGGTTGCTAACCTTTCACTCACCGGTTAATGCTGTCGATCGAAATGGTAACACACCGTTGTCACTGGCGTACTTGAAAAATCATGCGAAGATGGTAAAGATCCTGCTGCAAGCTGGTGCCGCTTTTCACTCTTTGGAAAGCGCTGAACGACGGTAATAGTTTCATCTTACTGATTAGAAACTCAGTGTTCTGTAGGATTCCAACTTGATTTTTGTTATTTCCTTTAATTCAAACTTGGTGCTTCTAGAAAACCGGAAAACCTACGAAGGCGTCGTGCATATGATGTACTCTCTAGGCATTCCCGAATAATTTCGAGTCAGCTGCAAAGAGCGCGCAGGAAAGTGTACAGGTGAGCCTGTTGTTGTGCTTTGTTCATTCAGACCACATCGCCCGTTAGGGAACCCCAGAGGTCGCTGGAGAGGTGTTTTTGGTCAGAGAAGTTTTTTTCGATAGCTGGTTTTTCTTGTTTCACGGATACTGTCGGGGGGAGGGG